ATTTTCCACTCACAACTTGAAGACTAATGCATGGCCCCTGAGCAAGCTGAGAGTGGAAAATGCCCCACCCCGGGGACGATTTTACAGTCGATTTCACAAAACTTTGACCACAAATGTTCCGAACTTCGTTGCGAAGTTCGTTGCGAAGTTCGGAAGTTCATTTTGGAATTCACAAGCCAATTTGTAAACAACGTCCCTGATTGGTCCGTGATGTAAAAGAAGCCAACCAAATGCGCAGTTTGTGAATTAAGATCAATGACAATGTTTTAGGCAGTGTTTACACTGTACCGTTTTCGTAGCGTTCTCGTATTGTTCTTGATCCTCAAGGGAACGCAAGACAATAGTCTAGTTCTCTCGAACAATACGAGAACGCTACGAAAACGGTACAGTGTAAACGCTACCTTAGTATAGCCTATACTATAGGCACTATAAAGGCTAAGTTACGTAAATTGTGTTTTTGTGATTGTAATTTGTAAATACATTGCCCTTGTGCATGTTAATAAATATATTGACAACGAACGCATGTTGTGTCTTGTTTCTTGACTTCAGACTTTGCGGTAATGTACAGTTGCTTTATATGCATTTTTCATGTTTAACTTCCCAATGCTGAATGAATGAATGAATGAACTATGATAAATTTAATGCAGCCTTTTTGTATTTTACACGCAAAGGTTTACACAATTTCACATCTTCATGCAAAAGTACAAAAAATTGAAATCGGTCACGCAGGTTATTGCAAATTTAATAGCGTTACTAAAGCCTTTTAAAATCGCACTTACACAAAGTTTAATCAACAATTAAGGACGATTAATTTACTCTTTATGGAGTTTTAAGTGGTCTTTAATTGACGGAATAAATCCACATTTAATAACCTTTAAGAAACAAACATTTTTGGTATTAAACTCGTCTTTAATCAACAATAATACTGTTGTTAAAAGTGATTAAATACTTACTTAAGCAGCTTTAATGCGCCTTTAATTAGGAAAATTAAGCGCACATTTAGTAACATTTAATCGACTTTAGTATCACGTTATTAAAATCGTCGTTAATACACTTAATTGAGCAGACTAAAGGCGATAAAAGAAACATTTAGTAACTTTAATAATTCGCATTAAGTGCAATTAAACTCGAATAAAGTACGCATTTAATACTACTTTAATAGCATATTAAAGACGCGCTTTTCGTCCTGTGTGAACTTCGGACTTCGCTAATGATAATTGCTTTCGATTTCACCGGTGTAATTAGCCGTGGGGAATTAATATATGTAATTTTACACACCCAAATGTGTGTAATCGTACACACCTAAGGTGTATAATTGTGTATACAAGGTGCGTATAATTACACACCTTGGCTTCCACATTGCAAAAGATGTGTAATTATACGCACCTTTTCTCGAAAAGGTGTGTATTTACAGAAAATTTGGTGTGTGAAACTAGTGATTATACACTAGTTTTTAGAGTGTATATGCACGCCTCTCGGTCAATTGCAATTGGCTGTAGGAGACCATTGAAGAAACTGTTAAATTAGTTGCTGTGCAGACAAGCCAATCCAGTATCGCATAATTGGAGTTTGAAAGTGGAGTGTAAATTTCATATGAGTCGAGAAAAGAAAGAGTTTGTTATTTAACATTTATATTTATTTATTTATAGTTATTAACTTTACAACCTTTTACACATGAACAAATACTAGATATTAACTTAAGAATGTATACATATGTATGAAGGAAAGGAATGAGGTTAAAGGCATGGTCATTGGTCAACAGGATAAGAATCCCATATTAAGACCAACTCATGCAAGAAAGGCAACAACAGTTATGACATACTTAGGGATGCAAACACACATTAACACATGATATTAATATTTGAAGAAATATTAAAGCGGTAAATGCATGAAATTAAAGGAGGCCAGAAAGGCGCATATCAGGTTGCTAGACAGTTTCAGTTTATTTTTTTAAATAATTTAGAATTCTTACCATTCATATAAATGAAACGTTACGGCATTACAACGACAGTTTAATTTCCGGATGCTTGACGAATGACGATTCTGTTTCTGGATATAGACACAGATATAGAAGAAAAAAAATGTTTTATAAAATTATGTTTGATTGCATGAGGAAAGCACAAAATTGAAACAGATGAAGCAAAATAAAAGCTAAATAAAGGAGTGTTGACAATATACACAACAAGTCAATTTCATATACAAAGGTGACAAGAAAATATATAGCTTAGTATTGCTTTATAAATACACGCCTTTCTACCCCTTGTTGGCTGTTGTTCTTTTAGAAATCAAATATTATATTTTGCAATTTCAACTCAACGTAAATTAATTACATTAAAGTTTAAGACGTCATAGAATGCAGTTGCTTGAAAATGCTGTCTTTTTCGTTGTCGCAAGTTGACTTTCCATTGCGACATCGTGGGCTCAGAACTGCGCAATTTAGCTGAAACAATGCTCACGATGATTAGGACCATTTCTACACAAACGAATTTCGAAACGTATTTTATTGCGTATGCGCTTGAACTTTTCGATATGATATAGCTGAACTCTATTGGTTTTGTATGGATTTTTATTGTGATGTCCTCTGAATGTTTTGATCATAAAGTGACGGTTGTCAAGAAGTGAAGAACATCTACACATTAGAATATTGCTATTGGTATTTTACCAACCACGAGCCAGTGTGAACGCCTGAGCGGGCGTCTTGTTTAGTTATAAGTTCGCACTTTGCAATAATGTACAGTACAAGCCCTTTGAAAATTTACAGTAGAGTATATTTATTAACTGCTTACAATATTTTGTATATGCTGTAGCCATGAATGACAGTATGACCCCACAAGATGAACCCCAATGGCTTTTAAATATAGAAAATGGATGAAAAGTTTACGAAGATTGAGCTTATTTCCAGTTCGCCATATCAATGTGTCTACTGTGCATGTTTCCATTACCTGATCAAGGTCGGCATATATACGATTCAGGTTACTTAAATACAATAATTAATTAATCTAGCTTTATATAAAACGTACATACATGTTCTAATCAGTGTATTTTGCTTCATGCAATGCATATGTGTGTGGAAACATTGTATGAAGCAAACTATAAAATTAAATTACCTTGAAAACACCTAAATTGCAAAATTCCTAAAATGTTATTTTTTTCTTAAATTGCTTCAAATCACCTTAAAATGCCTAAACTCGCATTGTTTAAAAGTTGCCGCTTTTGCTAAAATCGCCCATAATAATTTTGCATTATCTCGGAGCAAGTTTAGGCAAGTTAATGCTCCAGAGTAGGCCTAAGTTGGATTGTGGAAACGACACTTGGAACAACAAGTGTTCCAAGTGCGCATTCGATTGACGTCAAATGTGGATTCAAACTTGGAAAGTTATTGAGAATGCTGATTGTCGTAGAAAGAAGAATTAGAGGTATATTCGGTGATATGAGTGGGAACAGTGTTACAAAAAAAAACAATCCGGTTGAGAAACGAATTTCTAAAAAACGAGGTGTCTGCAGTATTTTTCTCATCGAAGCAGTCATGTATATTTATGGTTGAAAACACCAGACGTGGTTTTATTGATTTTATATATATGAATGAGGATGTCGCAGGTGAAGTTATTGCAGAGTTATAATTTTTTGAATACTCTCATGGGTAAAATCACCTTTTTCAATATAATTTTCACTGCTGAAAAATAACAGTATCTCAAAATCATGTTGAACACACATCTTAGCTAAGTTACAGTACTTGCATAAAACGACAACCTACACATTTATATCCACGAGTAGCAGGGGCGGCGGAAAGTCGATAATTGGGGGGGACTGATATTCATATATTCATGTTCTGCATCATTTATTTCCTTTGAAAGCGATTGTTTTTACAGTCTGTGAACACGAATATATGAATATCAGCCCCCCCCCAATTATCGACTTTCCGCCGCCCCTGACGAGTAGGCTCCGACGTCCAACACTTAAATGTAGTTGTCGAGTGTGTATATACAGTATGTGTGTTGTCAAGACAATGTCAGAAATTTCTAGCAATATTCATCTAATAATTTCCCATCTGAAGTGCGGAAAACGTTTATATTTTAATGCAAATGAAGCGTAAGGTTTTGTCTCGTTGAGCACAGTGCAGCTGGCCTTTATCCAGTGTGGAATAACATTTTCTCTAAAAGAAAGAAAACTTCCTCTAAAAGGGAGCACGACAATCAAATAAAGGTAGGATCAAACTTTTTTTTAAATTTATTGTTTTAAACGCATTCAGAGAAATATTTTGTCTTAAGTATTGAAAATTGCACGTTCGGAAACGGCTTTTAGCTCACGCAATATTGAAACTTGCCATAGCTGGAAATATCGTGTACAATATGTTTAGCAGAGCAAATTATAGTTTTGACCGCAGATTTACGATTCCTGTACCGCGGTGTTAAAGGAAACTATTTCTTTAAAAGATAGCTTCAAATTCATCCATAAGGCATACGCAGGTGTACGCCTATCAAACAGAAGCAATATATGTTCATACTTTAAACGTGGATTAAGACACGATCGTTGTTATGCAACTCGCAAGGAGTACTAAAAAACACAAGAAAGTTGAGATAGATGGCGATTCAGCAGCCTCAAAAGTTTCGATCGAAGCCCCTTCGTCAGATAGTTGAGCAAAGGCTCTTCATGATGAGATTAGGGTTATCAGAGCACTTCTGGCGAATATATTACTCTCAAAAATTGAATAATTTTAAAAATGTCAGTATTTAATGATGAAATATATTAATTTGCTTTTGTAGTGAAATCCCACAATGATGCGGCGTATTTAATTTAAACACAAAAGTAATTTGCTTTACTTCTTCTAAAAAAAAAATTATTCAGACCGTTGGAACTATACAATATCCTAAACATCTGAGAATCGTTTCAGGAAAATTCGTTAATAAAACTCGTAAATCGTTTCAGGAAAGTTAGAAAATATATTAATTTTCTTTTGTAGTGAAATCCCACAATGATGCGGCGTATATTTAAACACAAAACTAATTTGCTTTACTTCTTCTAAAAAATATTCAGACAGTTGGAACTATACAATATCTTAATCATCTGAGAATCGTTTCAAGAAAATTCGTTTGATTTTTTTACTTTGTATATCGCAAAATATTTCTAGATAACTTAATATTGTATTATCATCTTCATCTATAGTAACGGAATTAAATTGAGATAATACCATGCAATGGAAGCTACGCAGTATAACAATATTGATAATGTTCTAACAATATCTTATATGATCTGAATGTGGTTGCGTCAAAAATCATTGATACTTATATTCATGCGCTTCATTTGTACTCTCAAATTGTAGAACAAAAACAGCATAACAGCACTTTCTGCACAAAACAGTAATTTGCACAAAAGTGATTTGCTTTACTTCTTCTAAAAAAAAAATTATTCAGACCGTTGGAACTATACAATATCCTAAACATCTGAGAATCGTTTCAGGAAAATTCGTTAATAAAACTCGTAAATCGTTTCAGGAAAGTTAGAAAATATATTAATTTTCTTTTGTAGTGAAATCCCACAATGATGCGGCGTATATTTAAACACAAAACTAATTTGCTTTACTTCTTCTAAAAAATATTCAGACAGTTGGAACTATACAATATCTTAATCATCTGAGAATCGTTTCAAGAAAATTCGTTTGATTTTTTTACTTTGTATATCGCAAAATATTTCTAGATAACTTAATATTGTATTATCATCTTCATCTATAGTAACGGAATTAAATTGAGATAATACCATGCAATGGAAGCTACGCAGTATAACAATATTGATAATGTTCTAACAATATCTTATATGATCTGAATGTGGTTGCGTCAAAAATCATTGATACTTATATTCATGCGCTTCATTTGTACTCTCAAATTGTAGAACAAAAACAGCATAACAGCACTTTCTGCACAAAACAGTAATTTGCACAAAAGTGATTTGCTTTACTTCTTCTAAAAAAAAAATTATTCAGACCGTTGGAACTATACAATATCCTAAACATCTGAGAATCGTTTCAGGAAAATTCGTTAATAAAACTCGTAAATCGTTTCAGGAAAGTTCGAAAATATATTAATTTTATTTTGTAGTGAAATCCCACAATGATGCGGCGTATTTAAACACAAAAGTAATTTGCTTTACTTCTTCTAAAAAAATATTCAGACAGTTGGAACTTTACAATATCTTAATCATCTGAGAATCGTTTCAGGAAAATTCGTTTGATTTTTTTACTTTGTATATCGCAAAATATTTCTAGATAACTTAATATTATTGTATTATCATCTTCATCTATAGTAACGGAATTAAATTGAGATAATACCATGCAATGGAAGCTACACAGTATAACACTATTGATAATGTTCAAACAATATCTTATACGATTTTAATGTGGTTGCGTCAAAAATC